ACAAAATATATATTGTAACAAATAATATATGATAAATAAATATGTAAATTAATATATAATAATTTAAATCAATTAATTTATATCAGTTTAGTTTACTTAATCATGTAATATATATTCAGTTAATTAATTTTTGTTGCTTTTTTCATATGAATTTTATAGTATTTTAATTTATTATGTTCGGCAACAAACTTTTGTAGAAGCAAATTTTTTAATTAAATAAAAAAAAAACAGTTTTGAATATTTCTTATTTAGTGAGTTATATTTTCCTATATATTTTTTGAGCGTGTAAAACATTATTTCAAGAACAATTTTGATATAATAGCATTAAATACCGTTTTGATGTGAAATTAATAACAAAAACTGAAGTTACTACCAATTCACTTTTTTATACGGCAGCACTTAAGTGATCCATGATAAATTGTGTTTCTCTGCGAAGACTTCATTTTTAAATTTAGTGCCAAAAAATATGTTGATGAGGAAGGGTGAGCGCGCATTCGCTTTAAATGTGTGTGGTACGTATTGTTACCTTGCATGCATTTTTAATTGATCAGTAACAATAAATCTGTTGATAAGGGAGGATGTGCGCGCATCCGCTCTAAATGTATGTGGTGAATAATACTTATTATTAATTTACATACATTACTGTATGATCAGTAGCGAAAAATCTATTGATGAGAGTGGGTGTATGCGCATTCATTGTTAGAATTATGAGTTTTTCTTATGTAGATATATTTTTATATAAAATTTAACAATTTTTAAATTTTAATATTGAAAAATTTTAATTTTATATTATGATTATAAAATATATTTATAAATAAATACTAAAGTATTTAAAATTATTAGCTAATTAATTAAATTAATTAAAAGAAGTACAAGTTGTTCACATAATATATTATTGGTATGAAATGAAATAGACTTGATTATTTACCAAAATTAATGCAAGATTTAAACGAGATATATGCTATTCATTTTTTGTTCATCTGTTTGATGAATATTATAAATATTTACATAATATAAAAATTAAAAACATATTTTTTTTTTGTGTTGTTTATGTATAGAATACATGAATATTTTCTTCAGAATTTAAATAAATATTTTAAAATAAATAGTAAAATACTTTCGTTAAACTGTTATATTAGAAATATGCATAGAACTTAAATGAAAATTTATTTTCTTTCATCATTATTGTGTGAAAATTTAAAAAAAGAACTATAACAATTTTTTTACATCCCTTGTATTTTCCTATTTTTACATTTAGTTTATTTAGCTATGAAGTTTATGCGACCAAAGTTCAAGATTTGGTATGCATTTTCCACACCACCCAAGAGGTATGCATAAAGGTGCGTTACCGAGTTTTTGTGCCGGTTCCCCAACAGGCATATCCACCATTATATATTGGTTATAATTTTTTACAGATTTTTACAAATACAAAATTAACAGAATAATAATTACAATACTTTTAAAAATTAATTGCAAATTTAAATATACATAAACTAAAAGCAAAAAAATTATTAAAATTAAAATTTAATTTATATGTAAAAGTCAACTGAATATCATATGGAAAACTAAGCCTATGAATGCGTTACACAAAAGAGCTTTTGCCTATAGTCAGGTGTATTCAGAACCCTATTAAAAAATTTTAACAGGAAATACATGCGTACCCTTATAAAAAGAATTAAAATACTGTCTGTTTTGCAGTTTTGACAGCAAACATATGGACGTATATTTTTTAATTTTTGGTATAAAAATTGTGCTATACCTACTTTTTGGTAACTGCTATTAAAGTGTTTGCAAAATTTTAACTACTTTTTGTTAAATATTTGCGCAGTAAATTTTGTATGATTTGGCGCAACGAAATTTTATATTACTCTCAAAAAATCAAAACCAAAAAACAAAACCACACTCTTTCTTACACTCTTCGTGGTAAACTTTTTGAAATATTCCGTTCTCAAAAGTACTCGAAGCATCGGAAAAAGGTGAAAAATTTCAGTGATTTCAGCTGGTGTTAGTGCACTTTTCACTAACACTTTCAAGAGCTCTACGGCAAGTTGTTGTGTGAAAAAACAAATTTTAGTTCACAATGGAGTTGCCGTTCTTGTAAGGTATTCTTTGATTGCGGTGGTTCTTCCGTGTGCGATCGCATTACATATTACATTAGTTATATTTAGGTTAATTAAAACAATTTGTGCATAAGCACTTTTAATAATAAAATAAAATAATTTATTGTTTACTTTTGTTTACATTAGAATTGAATGTTGTGAATACACAACAACACGTAAGCATTATAATTTTATATACGGAGTAGCATGCATGCATTAGTAAATATACAACAGCATAACTTTGTTGCGCAAGCGATATTGTCTCTTGCGCGATAAGCGCTAGAAATATGCTAGTTAAGCACATTTTATGACACTGTTCATAACAAAGCATGCCTTAGATGCATGTACGCTACATGGTCAACGCTGTTTCGAGTATTGCCAAGTACTCTCTTAATTAGTTTATAGTCCGTATGTAATTTGTTTGAACTACCAGTGTCAGGCTTAGAACTCAGGCTTGCCAAATTCGAAGCCATGACTAATCGTGTTTATCCACAAGTAGCCAGGACTGCACAAACTTTTAATGCTCTAGTTCCAGGTTTTTTGTCACTTTTTATTTAATTAGTGATATTAACCAAAGCACTTGCCGTGCTTAAATTAGAACGAGCTTATAAACTACAGCTTTATTTTGGAAACACAAGTTCAACGAATTGAAAGTTAACTTTTCGGGTTCCCTATTTTTTATTTGCAAAGTTATTCTTATTGCAGAAACATTTGTTATGCATAATGTTTACTTGCTACATACATATATGTTAAACGCCAATTCTGGAGCTTTTTATTAAAAAGCTATGTATGTTACTGTTACTCTACAAATTCGCTTTCGCGATTAGGAAAAGCTAAATATTATTATATATTATTGATCTTATTTTCACAAGTCTAATTTTTAAAGTTTTTATTAGTATTGCCGAAACAGTATTGAATGATCAGCCAAATTTCAACAAATTAAATAAATTGTGTTTTTCCCTTCTTTCTTTGCTATTCGAAAACCCTCTAACATTAATAACTTCAAACAATAAATAAGACATTTGTTTTATGTACATATATAAGAAAAAAATAAATTATGTACATCTATAAATAATAAAATAAATAAAATAAGTTTTTTATTATTTACCTATAAAATATTCATTACACATATTTCTGATTATTTCTGTGCAGACAAATAATGTGATTTTTAAATTTAAATCAACATATGACACCCAAACCTTTCCTTTGTTTTGCTCATTTTCGCACTTTTCGCCATTAAAAAGTGACATAATTCATCAAAACAAATTAAATATTTTTGTTGTTCCCAAAACCGCCGCTTAATTTTACAGGTAAAACATTACTTATTTTTATTGTAACATCTGCGTAATCATAAACTATTATTAGTTTATTAATTGAAGCATAAGCGACATTTCTATCCTATTTATAAAATTAAATTATAATTTACGCCTATTTGGTATAAAAGTAGCAAATGTTTGAAAATAAAGACATTGAATAATTGATATCATAATGTAAGGTTGTTTTTTAAATAGTTAAAACATAATTAATAATTAAATAAATATAAATTAAATAAAAATATTTAAAAAAAATAATTGGTTCAAACAAGCGTTCCATCTATGTATCCTGCAACACCGGGGATGTTATGCTTAACATAAAATGCTGAAGCTATTTTCCTTTTTTCCTCAATTGTCTTTGGAACACTTATCCATTTTAAACATAAGCGCGTTTCAAAAATGCTTAGAACTTCAGAAAGCACTTTACTGAAGACAGACTGAGCAAGAGCGTCATCGTGGGCTATTCCAACCCCTGTCTGATAAGCTTCTTCAGCAAAGAAACGCAAACGCTCAATTTCACAGTTGGAGAAGCTGCAAATTGCTTCTTTACTGGTTGTATTTCCTTAGAAAGTGCCTCTAGCAGGTAAATAAACGCTGGTTTATTTACGTCGTAATTTTTTTGAAATTCATAATTAAAAAAACGTTTATTTTAAAATGAAATTAAATTTACATTTGTACTTATGACGAATCAGGCAATTCAAGTGGATTTGCAGCGTCTCGCAAATTTCTTCGATTGTTCGTCTATTGCAAAATTTCTCGCTCATGTACACAATTCTTTTCTTTGTTTTGCTAATTTTTGGACCTTTTGCCATTAAAAAATGTCATGGTTGCCAAAATTCAACAAAACTAATTTGAAACTTTTGTTGCACCCAAAATAGCTGTCTCCCAAGCAATTCAGAATAAGGGACTCCTGTTCTTGGGAATAGCGTGGGAACGGAGAGACTTACTCCCTGGGAGTATTCAGAATAACTACGTACATATATATTTGAACAGACGTTTTCCTCATTGCGTGTACCTTTTCAGAATTCATGATTTTTTAACAGAGACAAATTACATGCCTTTATACTTCTATGTTTTCGGTCATAACATATGATTGATGAAAAGGGTGCCTACAACTTCTTCTAAGCAAATGCTCATCTTACAGTAACTTTTTTATACAAGTGCTGCCTAGAGAAATAAAAGGCATCTGTTCTTTTGTCCAAATGCACACATTAATTATGACCCAATTAAAAAAGGTAGTCTTTCATCTCGAAACAATCTTTTTCACATCCGCTGCATTAACGATAGCACCAATCTCTCGATGAATACAAACTTATATAAACGGTTTTATCCAGAATCGTTACAAAACAAAAACCGAAATAAATCTAAGATTAGTTTTTTTGCGAAACTGGCATATTCAATTAACTGTACTTACTATACAATTTGTATTATTCTTTAATTCGCATTTTTTCATATTTTGGTGCTACCACATTGCATTACGTAGTTTAGAAATACGAAAAGAGATGACTTTTACGCGAATATTCTATTATACACATCTAACCAGGTATTTTTGATAACTATTCCACATATTCCACATTCAAACAGTTGCTTAAATTTTATACACCAATTATACAAATTTATTTTAAATATACTTGCAAGAAGATCGAGAGAAAAATAATGCGAGGAAATGCTATATTTTATAAGACAACACTTTTTACTTTTACTAGAAGTTTTTATCGTGAAATACTGCATACTTGTTTACTGCATCCTGTTTCTACATCTTTTAGCTAAACCCGATCCAACGCTTCAACCATTACGACACTGTTCCCACGTATAACCTGCAATACAAGCAACATAACAATTATCAGCAAAATTAAAATTTATTATTTAATACCACCATTCCGATATTATTTCGGGTGCTATCTTTACATTCCTCAACTGCTTCATCGAGAACCACATTCATAAAAGGATCAAAACCGCGCAATATGCCTGCAACAGATCTGCCTGCATTTAATTTCAACAAAAGACGCTTGTCCATATATCTATATGAATATTAATTACATTTTTATGTCAAGTAGTTTTAATACAATCTTACTTCTTTAACTCAGGGGGATGTGCTTTAGACATATTTATTCACATAAATTATTAACACCTACAGCGTCCTTCCCACTTTGCAATTAGAACAAACTTAATATGTGCGTGAAAATAGCGTCGACGATAAGTCCAAAATGGAATTGGAGCATTTTTCGCCGCATGAAAAAATGTGCGATAAAGTCACGAGCGCCAAGATAGCAACGATGCTGGGAGGTCCAAACCGGAATTGGAACACGAAATTTTTCTAAGTTTACTAATTTGTCAATATTAGATAAATTAAAGCTTTCTCAAGAAATAAGAAATATGATTTAGAAAGAAAATTCAATAATCTTTCATTTGGTATATACCTCATAACTGAATGTTGCGCAATAGCTGAGATATTCACAAAATAAAAAAACCAAATTTTTTAATAAAACTGACTTTTTTTACTTAAAAAATTATTAAAAAACAACTAAGCGTTCGATGGACTTGCACGCACATGCATTTGAAAGGCAATAAATCAGGCTTTCAAATAAAGTAAAAATCAGAAAAATCGTATGCGTGGAATTCGCACAAAAACATGTCAAAAATCAATGTCTTATCTCCCTCCAGATCACACATAGAAAAAAAGTGAAAACGTAAAATGATCAGAAACACATCACGAAATACAATTTTAAATCGTCAATCGATTATTTTACATTTATCATACAAATATGATAAAAAATAACCTTTTTTTCTACCTTATTTTACTCTAACATATATATCATAGCGTGCAGAAGCCCGATGGCAATAAAGATATTTTTCCTTTAAAGACAAATATATCACCTTTCCAAAATAGTCAAAATCGTATGCACAGTTTTTCCATATTATTTTTTCAAAAATGGTTTATTTTTTATCAAAAATCCAATTAATTGATAAAAAACGTGAACCTCCACAGCGCCATATACGGCCCAGAAGCAAAGCAGGAGGCTTACTGCTATCTATAATTCGAAGCCAAATAAGATATGGTGTTTGTATTTGCTTAATACATATGTTGTGAATAAATGAATTAAACAATAAAAAAAGCGACTATCTATCCGTTTAAAAAACATTAATTAAAAAAAAATATTATTACAAGAATCACAATGCACATAAAAGCCTTTAAAGATAATAAAACAAACTTTAAATTACAAAAAAAATCATAAAAATCGAATTATTCTTCGAACAAGGCAATTCAATCATATATGAAAATTATTATTTCTCTTAAAACAATCATTTGAGAACAAAAGAAAGATGACAAATGTTGAAAAATATATTACTAAGCAATTATTTAATAATATCAACTTAATATTTAATTCATGTCATACAAATTTCATAAAAAAATATTGGAATTTTTTTTTTGAGGTTATAATTTTTTGCAATCAAATATCTTACCGTGCAAAACCCCGATCGGGATAACCTATATGTCTATATAAAGATGAAGAAGTTTTCTTTCAATATTTCAAAATTTATAATAATCGTATGCACAATTTTTTTATAATGATTTTTAAAAAATTTGCATTCGATCAATAAATTATTCAGTCATATATTTTTTAACATTTATCATCTTTATTTTTTTTTTTTAAATGACTGTTTTAAGGGTAATAATAATTTTCATATATGATTGAATTGCCTTGTTCGAAGAATAATTCGATTTTTATGATTTTTTTGTAATTTAAAGTTTGTTTTATTATCTTTAAAGGCTTTTATGTGCATTGTGATTCTTGTAATAATATTTTTTTTTAATTAATGTTTTTTTAAAAGGATAGATAGTCGCTTTTTTGTTGTTTAATTCATTAATTTGCAACAAATACATAAATTCCATAAAGCGAATACGAACGGCAGATAGTGCTTGCAGACAAGCCCATATAATTTGCTGGACTCCGCATTCGGCGCTATCACTCAATTTATTTATTGATCAAATGCAAATTTTTTAAAAATCATTATAAAAAAACTGTGCATACGATTATTATGAATTTTGAAATATTGAAAGAAAACTCCTTCATCTTTACATAGACATATAGGTTATCCCGATCGGGGTTTTGCACGGTAAGATATTTGATTGCAAAAAATTATAACCTCAAAAAAAAATTCCAATATATTTTGATGAAATTCTTTTGATATGAATTATATATTAAATTGATATTATTAAATAATTGTTCAGTCATATATTTTTTAACATTTGTCATCTCTATTGTTTTTTTTAAATGACTGTTTTAAGGGTAATAATAATTTTCATATATGATTGAATTGCCTTGTTCGAAGAATAATTCGATTTTTATGATTTTTTTTGTAATTTAAAGTTTGTTTTATTATCTTTAAAGGCTTTTATGTGCATTGTGATTCTTGTAATAATATTTTTTTTTAATTAATGTTTTTTAAACGGATAGATAGTCGCTTTTTTTATTGTTTAATTCATTTATTCACAACATATGTATTAAGCAAATACAAACACCATATCTTATTTGGCTTCGAATTATAGATAGCAGTAAGCCTCCTGCTTTGCTTCTGGGCCGTATATGGCGCTGTGGAGGTTCACGTTTTTTATCAATTAATTGGATTTTTGATAAAAAATAAACCATTTTTGAAAAAATAATATGGAAAAACTGTGCATACGATTTTGACTATTTTGGAAAGGTGATATATTTGTCTTTAAAGGAAAAATATCTTTATTGCCATCGGGCTTCTGCACGCTATGATATATATGTTAGAGTAAAATAAGGTAGAAAAAAAGGTTATTTTTTATCATATTTGTATGATAAATGTAAAATAATCGATTGACGATTTAAAATTGTATTTCGTGATGTGTTTCTGATCATTTTACGTTTTCACTTTTTTTCTATGTGTGATCTGGAGGGAGATAAGACATTGATTTTTGACATGTTTTTGTGCGAATTCCACGCATACGATTTTTCTGATTTTTACTTTATTTGAAAGCCTGATTTATTGCCTTTCAAATGCATGTGCGTGCAAGTCCATCGAACGCTTAGTTGTTTTTTAATAATTTTTTAAGTAAAAAAAGTCAGTTTTATTAAAAAATTTGGTTTTTTTATTTTGTGAATATCTCAGCTATTGCGCAACATTCAGTTATGAGGTATATACCAAATGAAAGATTATTGAATTTTCTTTCTAAATCATATTTCTTATTTCTTGAGAAAGCTTTAATTTATCTAATATTGACAAATTAGTAAACTTAGAAAAATTTCGTGTTCCAATTCCGGTTTGGACCTCCCAGCATCGTTGCTATCTTGGCACTTGCGATAAAGTCGACGATAAGTCCAAAATGGAACTGGAACATTTTTCGCCACATAAAATATGATGTGCATACGGTTGCCACTTATGGTACTTTAGTACCAAAATTGGTACTTTTTTTTCGTTTGGTACTTATGTTCAAAAAATGGTACATTTTTGACGACCCAACTTTATTGTGGATATTTCCAATTAATTTTTTTTTATAAATGTAACATTGCACTATTTTATATTTTGTTCATTTATAACACTATGAAAAACACAGAACGAAAAAACAAAAAGGTTCAAAAAAATTTTAGACCTTTTTTACAGAAATTGTACCTTTTTAAACCAATTTTGGTACAGAAAAAAATTTTCAAGTGGCAACCGTGGATGTGCATAATGAAGATAGCATTGACTATAAGTCCAAAATTAAAAACGAACATTTTTCGCAGCATGAAAAATGCAGTATACATTAATTAAGGAAAAATTCATTATTTTATTAAATTTAATGCGGCAAAAAGCATTATTAAGTGGAAAACTGAATTAATTTACTATCTGCATTTAACTTTTATGTGTAAATGATGTAATTTGTATGAAAAATGAAAAATAAAAATCAGCACCAAAAGATGGGGTCACTAATTTATTAATAAGTTTTAAACTAGAGGTACCATTCTTTTATGGCTCATTTAAAAGAGGATAAAATTACCTTTCATATAATGAAAGGTAATGTACAGGTTGTTCAATTAACTTAGGAGCAATGCTGCGATGCAGATAAAAATGTCATTTTCAATCATTATTTAATTAAAACTTTGTTACTTAACCAAAAAAGTATATAACAATAAAAAATATATTTGTTTTTCTAAATATAATCGCTTTTTACATAATACAGAAAAAATTTTCTTCAAAATAAGGAAAATAAAATTTTATAAAAATAGGTCACTTTACAAAATTAATTATATATTTAAAAGCAGAGATACCATTTTTCTGCAAATTAGCTTAATCGAAAGAGGACACTTCAAGCTTTCATATGTTGTTTTCATATTTATACCTTGGTCGATTAGTTTAAAAGTAATCGAGTGCCAAAGTTCAGAAACAAAAAAAGTAAATTATAATTTACGCAAATTTTATATAAAAGCAGTGAATGTTTGAAAAGAAAGGTATTGAAGAATTGATACCATAACGTAAGGTTTTTTTTTTAATTAGTTAAAAATTTAGAAAAGAGTTAAATTTAACATTTAAGTAACCAATAATAATAAATTTTTCGAATATATTTTAATGTGATATTTAATGTTTGATGTCTGATAAGCTCCTTCAGCAAAGAAATGCAAACAACCGCTCAATTTCACAATTGGAGCAACTGCAAACTGCTTCTTTGCTGGTTGTAGTTCCTCAGTAAGTTCCTCTAACAGGTAAATAAACGCCTATTCTGAATACTCCCGGGGATCAAAACTCCCTATTCCCACGCTGTTCCCGAACACACAACTCCCTTATTCTGAATTGCCTGGGAGACAGCAGTTCTGGAAACAACAACAGTTTCAAATTTGTTTTGTTAAATTTTGGCAACCATGCCACTTTTTAATGACGACAAGTGAGAAAATGAGCAAAACAAAGAAAAAATTGCGTATCATATGTTGATTTAAATGTTAAAATCGCATTAATTGTTTGCTGCACAAATTATTAGAAATAAATATAAATAATTTTATAAGTGATTAATGAAAAACTTTTATTTTAATGAGAAAAATAAACATATAAAAAGAATTGTGCAGTTGTTGGTGTTCATTTATATAAAAAATTTTCAAAAACTTTAAAAATGCATTCAATTGCATTTCGAATATTAGCGGAGGATTTGGCTCAAGAACATGAGCAAGAAATTTTGCAACAGAGGATCAATCGGAGAAACTTGCGAGACGCTGCAAATCCGCTTGAGCTGCCTTATTTCTTGTAAGTACAAATGTAAATTTAATTTGGTTTTAAAATAAACTTTTTTTTCATTATAGATTTCAAAAATATTACAGAGTAAATAAACCAGCGTTTATTTACCTGTTAGAGGAACTTACTGAGGAACTACAACCAGCAAAGAAGCAGTTTGCAGTTGCTCCAATTGTGAAATTGAGCGGTTGTTTGCATTTCTTTGCTGAAGGAGCTTATCAGACATCAGACATTAAATATCACATTAAAATATATTCGAAAAATTTATTATTATTGGTTACTTAAATGTTAAATTTAACTCTTTTCTAAATTTTTAACTAATTAAAAAAAAACCTTACGTTATGATATCAATTCTTCAATGTCTTTATTTTCAAACATTCACTGCTTTTGTACAAAACTTGCGTAAATTATAATTTACTTTTTTTATATAAGTAGGATAGAAATGTCCTTCATGCTTCAATTAATGAACTAATAATAGTTTATACCTGTGCAGATCTTACAATAAAAAAGAAGCAATGTTTTACCTGTACATAATTGCAGTTTATTTTGACTTATTCTAGGAATCCATTTATTTCAGAATTTGGTTTCCTTTCATTTTTCTATTGTTTTAAAAACAATAGTTAACACTTTAATTAGTGGAAAAAACCCGTGTGAATAAAATAAATAAATAAAAATTTAAATATTTCAAATTTGTTATACTTTTATTAAAATAATAATTTTAATAAAATATATTAAATGAAAATTTTGTTATATTAAATTTATTAAAATATATTCGGAAAACTAATCAAAAAATAAAACTTTGAAAATATTAAATTTATTGTAATAATTTTATTATAATAATAATTTTATTAAAATATATTCAAAAATCTGATCATTTTCAGTTACTTTTATATTAAATTAAACCATTTTTAATACTTTTTTAACTTGTGTCCCCAACAATTTGGTAGGGAGAGAATTTGTGCAAAATTAGGAAAAACTCCCATTCCCAGGCGATTCAGAATAGGAGAATTGGAAACAGGGAACAAAACTCCCATTCCCAATTTATTTAGAATAGGAGAGTTGGGAACAGGGAACAAACTCTCATTCCCATGCGATTCAGAATAGGCCTGATTATAAATTTTACCCTTTTGTAATTATAATCACATTCTGTAATCATTAAACAATTATATAAGCTCTTACACGCTATATATGAAGAAAATTTTCAAAAAATTAATGAAAAAATCAATTCAAGTAATTTTGGACATTAATTAAGCAATCGTCTGATTAACATATTTTGGAGTTAATGAACTGACCATTTCTATATACATTTCTTTGGCATACATTAGATTAAGTAATTGCGAAAATTATTTGGAATTAGTGTATTTCAAACCTTCACAATTTTTAATAGGTTTTTTGAAGTACAGCACTAAAAGATTTCAATACATGATATAGTTTTTAAAAATGTTTATTTTATTCGTGATAAACATGTTTATTTTGAAATAACAATTGGCCCAGTCTGTTTTGCCGATTCTCTTTGTTTTGCAACAATTTGATTAGCAATACGATCCAAATCGCGTTGTCCAATTGAAGTCAGTTTTCGACCGCCATCTGGATGTTTTTCAATCAATCGAGCAGCCTCCAAAGATTGCAAAGCTTTACGAGCAGCACCATCTGCAGCTCGGCAGAAATGGGAGGGATGAACACCATTGCGTTTACGTCCACCATATATTTTGGTTATCGAACCAACGCCAGCAGGGCTACGATGGTATAGATGTCGTAAGATAGATGCACAACGAATGTAAAACCAATCAGGATCATATGGTGCTAACTCCTTATATTTAGCTGTCTTTATAATATCCATCTGATCTGGAACTTTTAATTTACCAGTCCTTAAATCATATAAAAAATGTCATTGATATTAATAGCAAACTAAGTAATTATTACTTTTTCAAAAATACAGCAACAGCTTTGGTGACAGAGTGTTGATCAATATCCTTTACTGTGACACCAGGCATCTAAAAAATAATTAAAGTATGTTAAACTAGCATATGCACATAATAAACTTAAAATTACTTTATTTCATTGCAGTTGATTAAAAACTTATTCGATTTATACATATTTATTCGCTAAAGTATTTTGTACCATAAAACTAGAATATATATGAAGATATATACTTAAAAATTTTATAACTTACAATAGTATTCACATTCACTACCTTGCTTGTTAAAAAGAACCGGAAGAAGAGATGTGTGCTATGAAGTTAGCTGCCAACGTATCGCAAATACATTTTGACACTTTGTTATAACCTGAGCCCAGATAGCAACGACGCTGAGGAAACCAAGCCGAAATTGGAACACGAAATTTTTCTAAGTTTATTAATTTGCCAAATTTACCTACGTTTTCATCAAGTAAGAAATATGATTTAGATAGAAAATTCAATTATCTTTCATTTGGTATATAACTGTATGTTAGGTAATAGCTGAGATTTTAAAAAAATAAAAAATCAAATTTTTTGAAATATATGACTTTTTTTACTTAAAAAACTATTAAAAAACAACCACAAAGGGCCCAGACATGCACGAATATTCACCTAAAAGGCAATAAGACTAGCTTTCAATGAAAGTAAAAATCAGAGAAATTATATATACAGAATTTGCGCAAAATCGTATTAAAGTTCAATATCAAAACTGCTTAAATATCATCCAAGTCGAAAAAATAAAAATGAAAAATGTTCAGAAATACATCACAAAACACAATTTTAAAACTTCAATTAGATATTTTAATTTTATCATAAAAAATTGAAAAAATAGCATTTTGTAGTTTACTTTACTGTAATCATTATATCCGCGTGTGCACCGCAATGGAATTAATTTTTCTTCAAAGACAATAAAATTTCCTTTCCAAAAACCTTAAAATCATAAAAATCGTACCTAAAATCCAATTATTTGAAAAATAACCTGCACACTCACAGCGCCAAATACGGAGCAAACTCCAGGCAGGCGTGCCAGCGCCATCTAAATTTCAAGTATCAAAAAGATGTTTGTATTTTTTTACGCAAGTTTGTGAATAAATGTATTAATGAATATTTGAACAGAAAAAGCGACTTTCATATTTAAAAACATTAATTAAAAAAGAACTATAAAAAACAATAAATCACACTTTCAATTGCAACATAAATCAGAAAGATTGATTTTGTCTTCACCCCAGGAAATTTAATCAAACATGAATATTATTATTTCCTTTAAAACACTTGTTTTTAAAAAAGTAATGATGAGAAATGTTGAGATATATGTTATAATGCATAATTGTAAAATATCAACAAAATATTTCAATTATATCATAGCAATTTCATTAAAAATAAAGAATTTTTTTTATAGTATGCATTTATATATCGAAATAAATGTTTGTGCACAAACGGCCCCTCAATCATGTATACATCACCATAAAGATGAAGAAATTTTCTTTTCAAAAAGCTAAAAAACTTAAAAATCGTACATAGTTTTTTATAATCATTTTTTAAAAATTTCTCTATATTTTACCAAAAATTCAATTTCATTTAATAACTAAATTCAACATTAGCGTCAAAAGCGGAGAAAATTCAAAGTAGATGGAATGGTTCGATCTAAATTTTGAGTCAAACAAGAACACTTATCAGTGTTACAAACCATTTCCTTTTGGAAATGCTTGATATGTTTAGAATCTGTCAATGTTTATGCAAAAAAATTTCAGTGGCGGAATATAAATAAGGGAAAGCAATTTTATAACACTATAGCTTTCTAAACTCTTGATATAAAAAACGTATTAAACATATAATTAATGGAAAATATGGTTATAAATCAAAATTTTGTCTGTTTAGAGAAGAAAAATATCATTTCGATTTTTTGCACTTTTTCACAATTTCTTGATGCGCACCCAATTTTAAATGTAATTTTTATTAAAATTTAACATAATGTAGACAACTTTTGTGTTTATCATCGTTTTTAGACATGGTTATAAATCAAAGTTTTGTCTTTTTAGAGAAAGAAAAATATCACTCCGATTTTCTGCACTTTTTCACAATTTCTTTATGCGCACATAATTTAAAAGCAAGGAAAAAAGCGACCGTTTTGCCGCCACCCACCCATTTTATATATCACCTCTTTACCGCTATCCAATTAATTTTTCATGTTAATTCCGGTATGACGTTGCAGTAGCATACATACCAGTTCAATATATAAAACAAATACTAGGTTATCGCAACAGAGGCCATAAAAGAGAATTCGCTGCGTGAACTAAATGTCATACCTTCGGTGGCCTATAAAACTTTTATTGAAAATTGGATCAACTTTGAAGGCGATAATAAAGAAAATGATTAATAATTAATATTTTCTGTTTTTTTTTTAAATTCTTGTTCTTTTTTGATCTTAAGGTAATTTTTACAATTAAATCTCTTAAAAATAAAAATCTGGTTATGACCTCATAACTGCTGAAATCCGTAAAAAACTTCCATATGTTGCTTTAATATTTATTACCCATCTTTTAAATGCTTCCTTGTGAAAAAGCTGCATCCCAACTTAATAGAAAGTTGCCGAAATAAAGATAGTACTAAAACTAGGGAAACCAACTAAAGATGTTAAATTTTATCATCCGCCTTTTTCCCATTCTTAAAAGTGCCTGAGATATTATTCTTAAAACGTTTTATGCCGATAATTGAGTCGAAACGAATAATACCGAATGACCAGTTTGGATTCAGAAGAAAACATTCAACTATTAAGCAAGTACATAGAGTTTTTGAAAAAAATACAGACCACTTTCGAGCAAAAAGAATACTGCTTAGCAGCGTTTTTGGACATATCTTAAGCATTTGATAGTGTATGGCACCAAGGACTTCCCTTCAAATGCAAAAAGCTTTTACCACTAAATTACTATACGTTCATAAAATCGTATCTATTGACAAGACTCTTTTATGTCAACAGTGAGACTAAAGTGTCTTCTTTATATGATACTAAATCTGGAGTACCACAAGGCAGTGTACTTGGTCCAATCTTTTATCTGCTCTTCATATTCGATTCAACAAAGACGACAGTGCGACCGATCCTTTTGTAGCCTCTTTTGAACTACATGCTGGCATTGATAATATATCAAAATGATTGAAGAGCAAATATTCTGAACATGCACTGGACATCTGACATAAAAAACACATATTTTTAACAAAAAAAAATACCGAAAAATGTTTTGATTACTGAATAAAAAAAGCTTTAGTATCCCTAAAAAATAAACTTATTTTATACAAAAGTGTGGTAAAGCCAGTATGGACTTATGGCATTCAACTATTGCGAACAGCCTCAACATTAAAATTCTTCAAAGATTCCAGTCTAAATCTTTAGGAGAAATGATGAACGCTCCATGATATGTAACCAACATTCAAATCCATTGGGACTTAAGGATAATTCCAGTAACAGATGAAGTAAAAAAGGTAGCCAGAAAATACTATGAAAGAATATAAATTTTCACAAAATTCTTACTTCGAATTTGATGTCTCCCTCAAAAATTTTTACGTGGCTGAAAAGGAAAACGCTGCATCAGATGTTGGAATAAAATCTTAAATTAAAAAAAAAATATACTAGTTCTCCACAGGGACTACTACCAAGAACACTAAATACAAGAGGACTTCTCAACTGAAGCCATTTTATTTCTACTTTTAATTTCGTTTACTCTTATTAATGTAAAATATGATGCGAGCGTAGCTTATGATTAAAGGGTTAAATAATTATAAATTATCACAAAAACCAATTACAATAATTAAACATATATATATTTTAATCAGTAATTTAATTAATCAAAACGAATGCTTTTTATATTAATGCAAAGAATATATTTTAAAACAATGAATTCTGACTACGCACGGTGTTACCATGTCTCCAAAGCCAGGAAAGAAGGATTACACAGAAGTAAAGTCATTCAGGCCAATTAGCCTTACCGCTTTCATGCTTAAAGCTATGGAAAAGGTAATAGTGGACTACCTAGAAGGCACCAACCTAATGAAATATCCTTTAAGCAGATGTCAACATGCCTATAGGGCGGGGTGATTCACAGAAACTACCCTGCACGAGGTCGTGAGGACAGCTGAGAGAGAGCTTACTTCAGGAGGCATTTCGATGGCAATCATGATGGACATCAAAGGAACCTTTGACAAAGTAAGCTTTGATAAATCAAAATCTGCTCCAGCTGACCAAGAAGTCGGTTCATTCATTATTGGATGGATAGGTTTCTTGCTAAGGCAAAGAGCAGTAAACCTACAAAATGAAAGACATAAACTGAGAGGCAGACCATAGACTCTCTATTTCAACAGCTTGACTTCAAAGGCATACAAACAATTGGGTATGCGAACGATATAGCACTGATGGTGAACGGCAAGTTTCCAGATACCATAAGAAACGTAATAAGAGGTGCTCTCAAATGCGTCGAAAAATGGTGTAGGGAACAAATCCTGACCATCAATGCTATCAATCAGACACTATCCTCTTCATAAGGAAGAGAAGTCTGTCAATGGAACCTTTACAACTTTTCGATAACAACATTCGCATATCAAAGTCGGTGAAGCATCTAGGTGTCATCCTAGATAATAAACTGACTTGCAATGAACATGTGGATGAAAAGATCAGAAAAGCGAAGAGAGCCCTATTTCAATGTAAGAGAGTGTGCGGAAGACGATGGGGGATATCCCCAAAGTCGATGCACTGGATCTATACGATGATGGTCAGGCCTATTATAACATATGCGTCAGTTGTCTGGTAGGGTCCAGCGACTAGCCTGTGTTAGAATAACAGACGCTATGCGCACTACACCAAGACCGGCGTTAGAGGCGATTTTAGGTTTGCTTCCGTTGGATTTACATATAAAGAAAACGGCGGCACTGGCAGCAATTCGCATGAACTGGAGCTCCATGTAGAACAACTCCGGAAAATTGATGGACCATCGGAAAATTCGTAACCTCGTCTAGACCACGTTCAGGGAAACACAGATGCCATGAGGATGACTAAGATGACTATGAGGAAAACTTATGGGGCAGAAGTGTCCTATAGAACACTGATAATAGACAGCCTTATACATGATGAATGTGAAAGGAATGACATATGCATATTTACTGATGGCTCCTTGATGGATGACAGAGCTGGTGCTTGGATTTACTCGAAAGAGCTAAATCTAACGTCCACTCTTCATCTAAGAATATATGTTTCCGTCTATCGGGCGGAACTTATGGCAGTCTCACATGCTTTGGATCACCTATTCGATTGTCAGGTGTATCAGAAAAAGATTCTGATAGCGCTGGACAATCAAGCAGATATCAAAAGCATGCAAAAGACATACATAGCTAACAGCTTATTTCAAGAATGTGTAACGAAGCTCATGGATTGTGCTCAAGGAAATGAGGTGACGGTCATGTGGGTTAAAGGACACATCGGTATTGAGAAAAACGAGAAGGCAGATGAACTTCCAAAGCAAGGATCAAGTAATACTTTCTGTGAACCAGAGTCCAGAATACCATTGAGTTACAACATGATGACAGCCTATGTCTATAAATGGATAACCTGACTTCATCTCAGTAGATGGAGAGAGTTCAGCACTTGTAGACAGACGAAACTCCTGTTTGCCGAAACTGTGGGTCAGGGAAGCAATGAAAGTGCTTAGCTATCCGCGGAGCACCCTAAGCTGGCAGGCTGACTGTCTAGAAAAAAAGTAGACACCGGTGCATATATTGTGTCAATGTCATTGGGTTGGTGATGACTTGGCAGGAAACCTCAAGCTAAATGAGCTGCTTGCATTAACAAAAGATGTAGTAATGCGAACAGAAGCCACATCAGCTTTAACTCAATAACGACATCCGAGAATCGAAGGACGAAAAAGGACCCAAGTCGTTTCGCGGTCTACTTCGACTAATTCTTCACCTTAGTGGGGCCACTTGTTAGACAGTGCGCTGTCCCAACGTCCCACCATATATAATTAACATGTCTCCAAAAGAAAATATAGGAAAACACAAAACAAAGGTAAACAAATATTACGCTCTTTCTCTTCAGCTAAAAATGCACACATTTTATATCAAATTTACAAGCAAAAGCAAAAAATAGAGAACAAACACAAAGCGTTTCTCTTAATCGGCCTAATATTTTTGGAGACAAATTTTTCAAAAGCTCACTTGAGAAGTCCTCTTGTATTTAGTGTTCTTATTATTATTATTATTACGACATGTTCTTTATTATAAAAATTAAATTAAAAATTTAAAAATTAGAACTTAGTCTATTCACAAATAATATTTATAAACTTCTTCCATTCCTATCTGTTTCTGGCAGTAAAACGTAACTGGTTAAAGGATTTGCTTGTTTCTGCTGCCACTGTTCTTCGCCAGGTGGTTTTGGGACGACCTCGTCTCCTTACTCCTTGCGGGTTCCATTTCATGACTGCGTGGGCAATTGCATCTGTCGGTTTTCTAAGTGTGTGGCCGAGCCAGCCATATTTGCGTCTCAAAATTTCTTCTCTATTGGCTTTTGTTTGGTACTCTGCCATAGCACTTCGTTGGAGACTCTTGCAGGCCACCATATGTTCAGAATACGCCGCAGGCTTCTATTGACAAAGAATTGTATCTTCTGAGTCGAGGCCCTCGTAATCGACCATGTTTCGCACCCATATAATAATGTCGATTTGACGCAGGCGTTGAATATTCTGGTTTTAGTTTCGACGCTTACATTGTTGGCTTTTCAGATTTTGTTAAGCGATGCGAAAGAGCCATTTGCCTTTTTCACTCTACTGCCGATGTACTTTGACGTGCCACCCTCGCTGTTGACTATACTCCCCAGGTATTCGAGTTCCTGCACGTCTTCAATGTTTTGATCTTACAGAAGGATGGACGATTGATTGCTTGCTTTTGTTCTCATTGTTTTTGTCTTTGAGGCGTTAGTTTTTAGGCCGACTTTATATGACTGCTCACATACGTTATTAACAAGAGTTTGCATATCAGTGTGTCTGTTAACAACACTACATCGTCTGCATATTCAAGATGACCAAGCTTTTGATTCAGCTTCCAACCAATGCCGATTGGGCTTTCTTCTACAGCTTCTAAAACGACGTCTAGGACTGTGATAAACAGTAACGGTGAGAGGGCGCAACCCTGTCGCACTCCACTGTTGCAATTAAAGCTGTCGCTAAGAGTACCTTCATGTAAAACTCTACTCGTGGCTCCTTCGTAGCTCTTCTTGAGAATATTAATGGTCTTATTAGGGATACCTTTAGCGTTTAACGCTAGCCATAAGTAACTTCTCTTAAGCGCGTCGAAAGCCTTTTCAAAATCAATAAATGTTAAATATTAAATACAAGGTTGCATTCCATTCTGAGGCTTGTTCAATAAGTATTCTAATCGTGTTAATTTGGTCGATGCACGAGTGCCCAGGGCGAAAACCTGCTTGAGTTTTATGAATAAGCTCGTTTAATGTTACGGCGATTCTTTCTAATATTATTTTGTTGAAAATTTGGAAAACTGCTGGTATTAAAGAAATTCCCCTCCAGTTGCTGCATTTCTTTCTATCGCCTTTTTTCGGCAGTTTGACGATGATAGACTCCTTCCATTCGAGAGGGAATGACTCTAGTTCCCAGATTTTCTCAAACAAGGGGAGCAAAAGTTTGGACACAGCATTGGGGTCTGCCTTAAAACACTCTATTGGTAAACAATCATTACCTGGTGCTTTACCACTTTTCATGCTAATGATTACACCTCTTATTTCGTTAACGCTAGGTGCCCTTGTATCTATTTGTCTGTTAGGATTTATATGTCTTCGTATTGTGAGTTCGCCACTTTCGTTGTAGGTTTTCTCAAAATGTCTTTTCCATACTTCTGCCTGCTCGTTCTTAGCGAACACCAGCTGTCCATTTTCATTTTCAATTGGAGCGCGGCTTTGGAAAGATTTTCCACCTAGTTGTTTAGTTAACTTAAACAGCTCCTTCATGTCGCCCTTTTCTGATGCTGCTTGCGCTTTCATGCTTAGTTCAACGTAATAGTTTCTCTTGTCGCTTTTGACTGCTTTCTTGATCTGCCTACTGAGACTTCTGTACGTTATGTTGTATTCGGCTTTTTTAAACGGATCTGCCTCGCTTAACATTTTCGTTTTAACGCACCTTCTTTGAGCAATGAGCTCCCAAGAGTTTGCCGACAACCATTCCTTTTGCTCGTTTTTACGGTAGCCGAGTGTGTCCTTGCAGATCTCTTCGAGATTTGTTTTAATATGAAGCCACGTTTCCTCAATAGAAGCATCCTCCATCAAACTGACGTTGTTAATACGTTCGATCATTTCATTCTTTACCGCTCCAACATTAAGCTTTGTGGTATTATACGTGCGCCGTGTATGCTGCGGGTGTTCATACCTATGTTTAGGTATATTAAATTTCAGTTCGGCCACCACTAAATAGTGGTCACTGTCGATATCAGCGCTTCTTTTGTTTCTGACATCACATAAAGCTTTACTCCATCGTTTTGAAATGCAGATATG